ATTTATGTACAGGATGTTCCATAAAACTGACACAGGTGTACCAGATTTTCCCTTATTCATTTTGTTAATTTTTTCATGGAATCTTTTGATGAAAAGTTGTATATTTATTGACCAGCCGCTTTTTAGAAAATCTATATATGTACTGGGCGTTCCACAAAATTGACCCACATCTGCTGAATTACGGGCAATTTTTTCCTTTTTCACTTTTAACTTTGTCTTTATTTACTAGAGTCTTTGAATGAAAAATTGTATATTTATTAACCAGGTGTCTTTTTGAATCTTTATACTGGATGTTCCACAAAACTGATCCAATTACCAACAGAACGAAACTTTCCTTAGGTATATTTGTTTCCATTTCTACAGTTTGTACTGAAGTCTGCAATATTTTTATGAAAAATCTTATTCCCTACTAACCACATGTTTTTTGCAATTTATGTACTGGGTGTTTCATAAAACTGACACAGGTGGACTAGGTTTTTCCTTTTTCATTTAACCAGATGCCTTTTTTGGAAGTTTGGAAGAAACTTTTCTTAGTCTTTCCCCGAGCGGGGCCTACTCTTTTTTGAAAAACGTTCTCATTAAACTTTTATATACGGGGTGTTTAAAAACTAAAGTACAGGGTGTTTCAAAAAATGTTATATTTACTAACCAGCGAGGAGAGCACCGCGGAGCGGTGCTCGGGCCGCGCGCAGCGCGGCTCGAGGGCCGAAGGCCCGAGAGAAAGGTCAAACTTCGCGTCAGCGAAGTTTGCCTACCTTTCTAGTAGTTCATTTTAAAATCCTATAATCAATGGCCTATATCGTGCAGAGAGAAGTTGACGTTTATTACACGATAATGCACCAACTCATCGATCCACACTTGTGACCGATTTTTTTTATTAAAAATCGCATTTTAACTGCCCCTGATTTGGCACCGTGCGACTTTTACCTTTTCGGAAAAATGCATTTACCGATTAAACGAAAGCGTTTTGTAGACGTAGAAGCTATCCAAAAGGCTTGTACCGACATCCTGAAGGACATCCCGTCGGATGATCTAAAACACTATTTATATTTATATATGCTTTTAGATCGTTGAAATCGCTATATTGAGTCGGAAGGGTAGTCCCCTTTGAATAAAATAAATATTTATTTTTGTGGACAATCAAAATAAAGCTGCCTGTACCAAATTTGGAAGAAATCGCTCTAGCTATTTTCCTGTATCTAGTTAAAAAACATTATTTTATTTTAACTCAAGGAATCTCTGAAACGAAGGGTTTGCAGATACATATTTGTTACGAATTTTTTTGTTAATTTGTGACGCAGAATTAAAGTTTGAACAAGCATTTTAGTTGCACCCTGTGTAAACTATTTACCTTCAGGAATTTGCTCGATTCTGTCCCTAAAGGAACTTCTTATTTCTTTGTTGACCCCCACGCAGGTGTTCATCACAGATTCCTTAAAATTCACGAATATCAGCTTTTGGTCCCTCAACTCTAATTCTTCTTTCAACACGTTAAAGCTCTGTAAATTACAAAAACAATCACTTAGTTGTATCTTAAAAAAAGTATTTCGAACCTATGGTCAAAAACCACGTTAGTAAAAAGTGTTGTCGCACAAATCCTACCTTTGCTACTGTAGCGTCTATGTTTCCCACATATTTCCCATCTATAACCACGGTGCTCTTCTCCGCGTTACAATTGAAGAGTATATTTTCTCTCACATATTCCGCGGCAGCAAAATGGAGTCCAGTTTTTAATTTCACCAGATAGACGTCACCAGAGCGTCGCTCGATGTCCAATTTTGGACGCGCGGACGAGTACAGAACGAAGATCATATTAGTCGCAATGCCGATTAAGATTCCATACTCCAAACTGATCAGAAGAGAGCATACGAGGGTGGCAGTGAGTGGGATCAGATCAATTTCTGTAAGAAAAAAAGTTTAAATCGTCGACTAACATAAATAATGATATGGTCACCATTTGGATATTGGAAAACTTACTCTTTGTCTTCCATAGTAAGAGAAAGGCGTGAAATTCACACAAATAGTACATGGCCACCATGATGACCGCAGCCAAGGTAGCCTTCGGGATGTAGCGGAAAGTTGAGGTTAGAAAACCCAAGGCCAGAAGAACCATAGCTCCAGTGATGATGCCTCCGGCTGTAGTTTTTACTCCTGAGGCGTTATTCACAGCTGTTCTGGTGAAGGAACCAGTGATTGGCATCGACTGTACGAAAGATGCCATGATGTTGCACATACCAAGGGCTATGAGCTCCTGCGTGGCGTCCAGTGTACGACCCTTGGCTAAATGACGGAATTGGGTATTATACATATTAGGTTTCTATTGAAATAAGCATACGCAGGATGTAATTTTAATTGGTGGATACTAGTACATGTTCTCCAGAATATATTTTTTTTAAAAATCGAACGGATAGTCGAGGTACGAAGCGTTTTTTAAACTGCACTTAACTTTTGTCTACGCCATCTATGAGCAGCACCATAACGCAGTTGTAAGTTGAAGAATTTTGCGAATGGTATAAAAGACAATGGAACAAAGTAGGAGGCGACTTTTCAAATTGTATCTATTATGGACCGATGAGATGAGATTTACAAGAGAAGGATTTTCAATATTCATAACACACATTTTTGGTGCGATGGAAATCCCCATTCAGTGGGACTTATTTCCAACAAAATATTTCGAAACCTTTGAGTTGAAATAGTCAATAACACAGGACCACAACACGTCAGCGTTTTTTTCTAACCTCAAAAAACAGCTTGAAACTATGAAACCCAACAATATCAACCCTTAAACCATATAACCCTATACTTTCATAACTCAGATTTTAAGGTTATGGGTTTTAGAGTTATAGGTTATCCATCTCAAGGTTATTGAGTTATAAAAATATAGGGTTATGTGGTTTAAGAGTTGATATTCTTGGGTTTCATGGTTTCAAGCTGTTTTTTGAGGTTAGAAAAAACGCTGACGTGATGGGGAAAAACAGGTTTCGGATTCGATTTCAGCGACCCAAAAAAAATATAATCCACTTGGTTCAAGGAACCCTCCACTCATTTTTTTTGTGGTCCTGTGTAATTTATTATCAATAATTTCTTCGTGACTTCCTGAGTTTAGTGAAATTAAACTTAAATTTACTACCAGCCCGGATAACTTTCCCACATTTCTATTAAGAGACTGCTCAGATTTTCTCTCATTACTTAAAAAAATTACACAGGTCCACAACCAGAAATAGAAATATCCTTTTTCCCAGACTAGGAGACCCTTATGTTTTTGGGTCGCTAATCACAATTCCGGTGTCCATATGACCCCATCACGTCTAGATCAAGGTCAAATGAAAGTCAAACATATTAATTCGAATGATACAATTTTTTTGATCCCGGATTCTGAAAAAGCGAAACATTTTACATTCGAATACGCTTCGACCTGTTGGTCGAACCGACCTCTGTAGGTCATTTGCAGGTCATCTAGAGGTCAAATCCGTCCGCTTTGATCTTGATATCTTAGCTAGGAATGGACACCGGAATCGTGATCAGCGACTCCAAAAACATAAAGGTCACCTAGTTTGGGAAAAAGGACTCTTCGATTTCTGTTTGTGGGCCTGCGTACCCTATGGCTAACCGAGTGCCGATTGTCCAATCGCGGAAGCGTTTAAAAGTGTGCCAAATTTTCAAAAAGGTTATAAATTTGACATTACTAATTTTCGTTCCATTTCCGTCATATGTAATTTTTGTAAAATATTTTACTTTATGGCTCTATTTACAACATTTCTAATATGATAACACCTTGTCAACATGGTTTTATAATTGATTCCATTTACAGCAATTTGCAAACTGAGGTCATATACTATATGTGTACTTTAGCAAGACGTTTGATATACTTGATCAATCAATTTTACTTCAAAAGCTTGATATGTTTGGTGTATCAGTATGTGGTTGCATCAAGGTTCTATTCTGGGTCCTTTATTATTCATTATGTTCATTAATTATCTAGTCAACCACTTAGATGTAAATTTTATTCTGTATGCCGATGACGAATACTGAGAAATGTAATGTCATGTCTTTTCTAACAAGTCCACCTACATTATATTGATAATAATGTTTTGACAAAACAAAAACGTTTCGAGACTTCGACTTCGCATTTGTTGAAAAATTCATATTGACACTGTCGTCACCGGATCTAATAGATATAACGAGCGTTCAAATAAAAACGTGGTCGAAGTTGGATCTGACACATTGGACGTAGGGCGTAGCTTATAGCAACCAACTTAACCTCATTTCTCAACGAGCTGTATAGCAGCTGTCAGTTTCAATAACAAAGCGGCGATACAGCTCTTTGACAGATGACGTTTAAGTTCATTTGCTATACGCTACGCCCTACGTCCGAATTTTCAGAACCAACTTGACCACGTTTTTATTTGAACGCTCGTTATAATTTTAATCTGTTTTTTTTTTTCTTCAACTATCGTTTGTAATTAATAGGGCTCTATAGCAAATAGGCAATCAGCAATACATTTTTATAGATTTTATTACATAGTTTGTCTAAATATAAATTAATGCACAAATAACAGACTTTCTCCCATTTTAATGCAGATTTTCTATAAAATGGACTTAGTTTGAAACTCAAATAATATCTTGATGTAAAGAAATTTGTAATTTACTCTGCCGCTTGCTCAAAAGCGGCAAATTACAAATTTCTTTGCAACAAAAAGTAATTTAAGTTTTAAAATAACTCCATTTTATAGAAAATCTGCGTTAGAATGGAGGAAAGTCTGTTATTTGTGCATTGATTCATAGTTAGACAAACTGTGTAATAAAATCTATAAAAATGTACTGCTGGTTGCCTATTTACTACAGAACCCTATTGGGTACTACCTGTTCAACAGTGTAAATACATGTATAAATAAATTATATACAGGGTAGCCCATCGAAAACGTACCGCAAGGCATTAAGGGTAGTAAAGAACTTTTCGGCAAAATCCAAAAACAGGTCAAATTTGTTTCTGAGGGGGACAACTTTTGGCTCAAAAAGCATACCAAAATCTTAACCCCCTAAGTGGGGGTGCTAGGGTGCCCCTACATTTTTTTAAATGGGAATGGGGGTCAAGTGGGGGGTCATTAGAAAGGGCTTTTAATTATCTATACATCGATTCTTACTTTTTGAAAATCGATCCATTATTTTAGAAAATATGCAGCTTTGAAAATACGAACAATATTTTTGACGAGAAATGCGAAAATCGATTTAATTTTACTTCAAAACTTACGGTATTAGCTTGGTAAATTCCTTCAAAAGAATTCGCTGTTTTTTTTCTGATTTGCGAATTCTTTAGCCTGATTTTGGTGAGCAAAAAATTGTCCGCTTTTTGTTTCGTATTTAGATAGGCCACAAGAAGTTGCTAGATAACTGTCTTGTGACTTGTAGTTGAAGAGTACCAATACTGCCGAGTCTTTTAAATTGATTAATTATGGTGTACTCAATTCCAGAAAGAGTAGAAATTATTGAGCTTTTTTTCAAAAACAATGAATGCGGAAATCGGGTCGCCGAACTGTTCAACCAACGGCATCCTGAGAAACATGCGTCTGGAAAAATTGTTCGCGAATTGGTGGCCAAATTTCGCGAAACTGGCTCCGTTCATAACAAAAAGAGGCAGGTTGAAAATCCGGTACTAAATGAACCTACGGAAATAGCGGTATTGGGGCAAGTGGCAATGGATAGTACGCTGAGTACAATGCAATTGGCTACTGCGACAGGAGTGAGTCGTACAAGTGTCCAACGAATATTAAAAAAATACAAATTCCATCCTTATAAGATTCGGCTAGTGCAAGAGCTAAATGAAGACGATTTTGATCGTCGTTTGCAATTTTGCGAAATAATGACTGAACGAGCGATAAACGATAATTTCCTCTTTAATGTGTGTTTTTCGGACGAGTGTACGTTCTTCTTGAATGGTTTAGTGAATCGCCATAATTGTCGTTACTGGGCTGATACCAATCCAAGGATTTTCCATGAGACACACTCCCAACACCCCCAGAAGTTGAATGTATGGGCAGGTATTTTTGGAAATTCCATTGTAGGTCCTTTTTTCCTTCCTGGAAATTTGACAGGCGATATGTACTTGGATTTACTACAAAATGTCATCGACCCAGCTCTAACAAATATCATAGAGGACGACCCTGCTTACAATGAACACGAACTGATTTTCCAGCAAGACGGAGCTCCTCCACATTACTCGCTCAATGTGCGCAATTACCTAAATGAGACGTTTCCAGGACGCTGGATAGGACGAAGAGGTGCAATTGAGTGGCCCCCTCGGTCACCCGACTTAAATCCTTTAGATTTCTTTCTCTGGGGGCACATTAAAAGCAAAGTTTACAGCACTCCACCTGATACCTTGGAAGATCTGCGAGGACGAATCATTAATGTATGTCGCGAAGTAACACCGCAAGTGCTCCAGAATGTTCGACAACGGTTTGAAGACAACCTGTATCATTGTATGCAAGTTGGCGGACAACATTTTCAGCATTTACTTGACTAATACCGTAAGTTTTGAAGTAAAATTAAATCGATTTTCGCATTTCTCGTCAAAAATATTGTTCGTATTTTCAAAGCTGCATATTTTCTAAAATAATGAATCGATTTTCAAAAAGTAAGAATCGATGTATAGAGAATTAAAAGCCCTTTCTAATGACCCCCAACTTGACCCTCATTCCCATTTAAAAAAATTTGGGGGATGGCATCCCCACTTAGGGGGTTGAAGATTTTGCTATGCTTTTTGCGCCAAAAGTTGTCCCTCTCAGAAGCAAACTTTACCTGTTTTTGAATTTTGCCGAAAAGTTCATTACTACCCTGTAATGTCTTGCGGTACGTTTTCGATGGACTACCCTGTATATAAATAGACTCAATGGTGAAGACGGAATTTGATATATGTCAAAAGTATTCTCTGTATAAAAGTCACATTTTCGTATAACTAAATTTTCCCTATATTTGTGAATGTCACTGTAAATAAACATATTCCTCAATCTATCACCCTGTATATCCTGACTTGCTAAAGGTTAGCAAACCAGTATACCTTAAAATAATTCGTTATGGCTAACAACTTACAAGAACTTGCCTAAAGAGACTTGCTAGAATAAATTTGCTGCAAATGCATAAAATAAATGCAACAACCAATAAGTTGCTGTAAGAAGAATTCAAGCAATGTGTTTGTAAAGTGTCCACTACCTCATAGTTTCCAAAGTAATTGTACTCACAAAATGACTTTGCAATGGCTATATGCTCCAAAACTGCTACTAGGGGGCAAAAAATAATTACGGCTCCGTACTCTCTAATCATGTCCGTAAATGCGAAGTTGGTACCATTGAAGGTGGTTGTGAATGGTGGAGCAGTAAACTCTGGAAGACCTCCTGTCACATTACCTGCAAAAACACGTTTTTTAACTAAGGAAAATTTGGTGTAAAGTTAGGTTACCTGTTAATCTAAATGGAGTATTATCATCCTCGTAATAATTGTAGGCAAGCAGGGTGCCTACGATCACAGCGATAGCATTCCTAGCTAGTGAGAACATAAAAAGGAATATACCGAGGATGTTCCTATTCCTCGACCATTCTGGACGAATTTTCAGAGTTCCATATCTCCTTATTTCCTGAAATAAAATTCTCATACTATATCAACAGAAATTTATAATAACTACAGATCAGATATGTTAGCGCGGCTGCAAACAAAAAGTGACAACTGTTGCCTTCTTATAACTACACTCTATACATTGTAAAAAAATATATGTAAGTGTTTGCTTAATACATAGTATAAAATAAAAAGAGACAGTGTCTATTGCTCTACACTAAATGCTTCACATATAACTTACTATAAAAAATACACGTATAGTAGGTTATAATAAGTACCAGCAAAACTTAACAAAATAATAATTTCTTACTTATAAGGAAAGCGATTGTAGAAAATAATTAAAAGTCGTCCTAAGTGTTCCGCCCTTAATCGTCTCTGGCGATCGGTAAATACCCATTTTAAAAATCACAATGACCGTTCAATATTTGCCGAGGTCGCAGGCGCACATCTAAAAATAGTCGAAGTTTTTTGTAGATACTATTTTTACTACTTCACAATAACATGTACATGTTTGCCTTTGATCTGAAGTTTCGCATCGATCAATTCATTCCATACGTATCTAGCGGCACCTTAATGCCTGCCCTGTCGCCCTGGCGTGCCGGTCAACAATTCCGGTTTTTTGCTGAGGGACATTAGCCGTGCATTTCATTGTCGTTTGTGCATGTGTGAGTTTAACGCTTTGCCATGGTAGCTATATGTTCTTGCGGTCACTGAATCCGAATCCGGTTTCCGTTTGATCCGATTAGCTCTTGTTGAAGGTCAGTTCAAGGTCAAATGTAGATAATCAAATGCCAACAAAGTAAATCTACATATCTACACGTTTTTCGGGTCGGTGAATCCGAATCCGGTGTCCGTCATGTCTTCGATTACTATGTTATTATCAGACATTGGAAACTTTGTCGCGACAATCAAATAAATAAACGGTAGTAATTTTTTAAATTCAAATAAATAGTTCGAGAACAATTCGTTATTTTCTCAACTTCTCTTTAAACCCTTCCCTGCGACACCGAGTGCCCGACGTGCTCGCTTATCAGTGTTGCCAGTTGTTTACCTAATATTTTAAGCCAACTGTATTAAGCTGATGGAGTGACAGAATGCGAAACTACAATGGAAAATATTTTGCAAAACAGACTGCATTTCTATAAATATTCATATTACTTTAAATTCGTATTTCTTTATGTTAATGCAGAAAAGGCGCCGAACATAAAAAGTTTTCGAGTTACCAAAATTTTTTTTGCATGATTTATTAAAATATTAACTGGTATATACATAGATGTATGTAAATAAACATACGTTATTAAAATGAAATTATAAATAATAATTAATTATGAAAAAATAAAGTCTGTTTTAAAATAACTAACTAAGTAAACAATTGTACACAGCCACGGTATGTTCAAAAACTTGCAGAGGGATGTATTTAGGAAGGTTAAAGCGGGTATTATAAAATTATAATTCCTATTCATCCATCACTAACAAAATTAAACCGCGAATGATACGCACGAAATTAAAACTATTAAAATATGTATGAAAGCGCATCTTTGGCGGATATTCTGCTATTCGATTGGTTCCGTCGACCAATAGTTTCATAGACACGAACTTGATCATTGTTTACTCGATCGAAATGCAAGTTGACTGTAAACCTGACAATGAGTTATATGATATAACAGCAAAGTGACGTGTTACCAGAAGCAGTACTTTTACTTTCAAATTTGGTACATTTTGTCTTAAAAAATACATTGGTACATCGAGTTTCTTTATACAAAGTCTACCAAAGTAAAATCTACCAAAGTAAAAATTATTTATTTCTGTATTTTATGCCGATATACGATGTGTTTCTTTGTGAAACTTTTTAACGACCACAATATTTTAATAATAACATTTGGCTGATACAGAGCATCAACAAATCTTCAATGGCTACTAGTTACTGTATATTTCTGTGCTTCCCGGATCTCATCGTTTCTTTAACAGCGGTTCTGGTATCACAAAACTAGTAATCTTACCTTAGTAATAACTAAAAATACTATCGTGGTAAAACCAAGAACGGCGTCCCACTTTCTGGTCTCCTTGATGTGCTCAACGACATATATCCAGGATTCCAGGAACTCTTGGGACTTTCCTGCTATGCCCAATAAGCTCTTGATCTGTGACGAGGCTATATTTAGAGCTGCGGCAGTGGTGAAGCCTGCTATGACTGGGTAGGAGAAGAATTCGACGATAAATCCTGGAATAATCGTATGAGATTTAGTTACAGTTTATACAAATTATTTAAATTATTATATGATTTAAATTAGAACGCGGTATAGTACATTCGAAATGAAAGGTTGAACTATAAATAATTTTCTTGACACATGGCTTGGCAAACGCACAATTCGTTTTTGCGAAAAAAAGATAAATAATTTTCAGCAGCGGATTTCAAAATGTTGCATCTTTTTCAAAAAAAATTGTCCGTAAATATTTGTAATTTTAAAAAATTGCTTAGTTTAGACTCAACTGGTCTTGAAGATATGTAAAAATACATCAATGGGTCATCTTCAAGCTGCTATATCTTCGTTAAGGAACCAGAGCTGACATTCTATTTAACTTCTTGTATAAATTTTAATCAAGAAACAAACAGTAGATGAATAAGGCCGGTTCTAGAACGGAAGTGACTCGGATGGCCAGCGTCCATCGACCTTGAGGGTCTCTAGAAGTTTGATAATGAAGTTTGTGTATTTGGCTGTATAAATAGCATTTTAAATATTACTTCTACTTAATTACAAAGTACTTCAGTATTCATTAGAGCAAAATAGATATAATAAGTTTACACAGACATTTGTCATAATCAATCAAATTGTAAGGGCAGTGAGTGATTAATTAAATATAACAATATCTCTATTCCATCCCAATGTTTTATTTTTACATTTACATTTTGTGGGGAGGGGTTAACGACAATGATAATGCTTGCTAACTTTTTATCACATTAATAAATCGCTTAAGAAAACTTTGCTAATCCTCAATTTACAAAGATATTCATAAATTTAATAATAATAAACCTTGGCTCGAGATTTGTATTACTTCAGGCTGAGGTAATATTAATATGAACGTAGTGGATTTAGCGATTGTATAAACAGAAATAATGAATAACAATCGTAAAAAAATTGTACAGATCAGACTATGAGATTTATTTATTGACAATTAAGTTTATAGTACCATAATTATTATTATAAAAAATTTCCTCACAATCGTCTCAAATTAATTGATGATAAACAGTGCAAACAAAGCATTTTAATTACCCGATATGCATTAAAAACACTCCTCTCTGTCATTTTTGAATACCTATTGTGACAAATTTTTAAGCGAGTAAGGTTTGATAGTAGCGAAAATAAAGATGCCTAAGAGAAATCCTGATAATGTAGTAAGTACTTAAAACCGATAAAAACAGGACGCTCCGTATGAAGCAGAAGACGCGTAGCGAAAATTTTCAACAAGGTTTTAAAAATTTTCTAAGATACCTTCCATAACACCGCCGCCCCCAATCTCCAAAGGCGCAGGGAAATAAAAAATTTATTAAAACCTTAATTCATACTGAGGAAAACAGCAATTACTACAATTAACTACAAGTTCAATCTCGAGCCAACTAAAGTCTAAAAATTGGAAAAATCCAGAGTGGCTAAATGTCCAAATATAAAGGGGACTTCGCTACAGAAGCTTTACCGATCCATCAAGAACTATGATTGAACATCGACCCTGGTACCCTACAGTTTATTAACCAGAAATGGAACCTGGCTGTACGTGTATGCTCCAAATTTATTGTCATTTGCCTTGTATAAAGCTCTTTGCAAACCATAAATCACATACTTATTTATTATAAATATAATTTTTTGAATAAATCCAACATTTTTACAAATTCAAAAATTTTTTTGTCCACCCTAAGGAGTATTCATGCCTATGTGTTGGTAGTATTTTTTACATGAGATTTATCCATAATCTAATGCTGTTCTTACCTAAATGAAGTAGTCCTAGTATAAAAATAATACATCCTGACAAGAAACATAGCAAGACCGCCCCTGCTGCTCCCATGGAGGTTACAAAGGGCTGTATCATGAGCGCCATGATGGCGGTGGGCCCAACGTTAAGGTCTTTGCAACTGCCCAGCAGAAAGTACACGAAACAGCCCATGAAACCGCTGTATAGTCCATATTGAGAAGGCAGACCTAAACAAAGAATTTGAAACATTTATTTCTTAATTTTAACGCACGATAGTTTCGAATTTCGTGCTTGAAAAATGTAGAAAGAAATAAAAAGCAAATTTATATATTTGAGTTCTGAACACGTTGAGAGGAAGTAAACACGTTCAATAATACACAATATTATTAACAAATTAATCTGTATGTTTACATATTTAATTGAATAAAAATATTGCCGTTCCATTTTTACAGCATGCATGCATGACTATTTACGGAACGTTATCACAATCGGAACAAATACAAGTCTGGACGGTGATACAGATTTAAAAAATAATGTTTAATTTCTATAGAACATCGTTCTGTAAAAATTATGCCATTTTACTTTATTACTGAATCAGACAACTCTCCATATCAACAAAGATAGTACATACGAGTATACAGGGTATCCCATAATTCTAAATTTGTAGTTTGAAATGAAGAAGATGGACATGAGATATACCATCTAAATAATAAATAATAATAGTAATAATAATATCTCTACTCCTCATTCTAACTACGAAAGTTAGCCCAGAAGTCGGAGACTTGTGCGGGAGAGGAGGCGGCATATTATTATTACGCAGGCCGCATTTGCGCCCAGGAACGACTTATGTTGGTAGGCCCTAACCACCATTCAGTGCAGGAATGAGGGAAACCTGGAAAACCTCATTAATTAGGGGGGTGGTCAAATGCCAACCGGTGTCAGTCTCTCACATTGACCCAAGCCAACATTCTTCCACCCTACCATACCTGTACAGAGGGTGCCAATCCTCCGTACAAGCATAGCTAATCTACGGTCTACCGGCCGGCCGTGGGATTCGAAACCCGGGCAGATCGACACATCGATTTAAGTACTGACGTCTTAAACCGTGCAGCTATCGACCGTCTAAATAGAAATTTTTTGAAAACGAATCATTTTATGGAAGTAAATCTAGAGCCCATTTTTTTTTCGGGTATCTCCGTTGGTATTCCATTGGTGCCGGTAGTGCTCTCCCATTACAAAATCCATACACAAAATGCATGTCTATTCAAATTATTATTAAAATTCTGCATTCTTTCTTTAGATTTTACTTAATATCCAATACAGCACCGTAAAGTGAAAGCAAAACTTTAAGTTTAATAATAAATTTGTCAAATTAATTCAAGTAAACAAACACCTGTTTTCATGGCCTATTTACCTATTCATGTAATCCTTTTCCATTCTTGAGATTATGTAATAAAACTTTAAAATCGATTTTTCTTGAAAACGAAGCATTTTATCGAACTAAATCAAGAGTCCTCTTTTTTAAAGACTCTTATCTGTCTTAGTTTGATGTTTGATGTTGAAAATATTGACATGCAAAAAATTTTTGCGCGGGGCGCATTTTACCCGTGAGCCCCGTTCCTGATACACCCCTGACTAAAATTTTTAAACAGTCTTCGTGTAGTTCATTAGAACATTATTGAGTGTCAAACCAAAATTTGTAATGATATGTTAACTGGTTTTGGAACATATTTAAAAAAATATGATCTCCTGACATCCCTTTTAGGGGGGCGTAGCTCCCTTAGGGAGCATTTTTCGACCCTTGTTTATAGAAAAAAATAATCTTATCTTTGATCGAAGAACCTACCGCTAAAGTATTGCACACTAATTATGGGGTAATTACTAGGCAATTTATCTACAACTGAAATTTATGACCCAGTCGCCCAGTTCGGCTGTGTGTACGCCATTTGCCTGCGCGCGTTCTTCAACTGGGCGACCACACCTGTATATGGGTAGGGCTAAATAAATATGGCAACAAGTGTTTCAAATATTTCAATGCCGAGTTGCTGCGTAGCGACTGAACCTGGTACATACTGCCTAGCGCTTTGGTCTTTGATAGGTTCCGAAGATATCAATAAAAAATCATTTTGGAAATGGAAATCATGGGACAGCCTGTATAAAACAAAATAGAAGCCTGAAATATGCCTGATGTTTTATGTTGCACGTCAATAATTATAAAGATTTGTTGACACTGGAAATGTAACATATTTTACCTGCGACTAGAGCGTATGCGATACCCTGTGGTATTTCAGTCAGACCAACCGTGAAACCAGCCAGTATGTCTTGAAGGAATGTTCCAAATGTGTACGCAGGCAACNCCATTCAGTGCAGGAATGAGGGAAACCTGGAAAACCTCATTAATTAGGGGGGTGGTCAAATGCCAACCGGTGTCAATCTCTCACATTGACCCAAGCCAACATTCTTCCACCCTACTATACCTGCACAGAGGGTGCCAATCCTCCGTACAAGCATGGCTAATCTACGGTCTACCGGCCGGCCGCGGGATTCGAAACCCGGGCAGATCGACACATCGATTTAAGTACTGACGCCTTAAACCGTGCGGCTATCGACCGTCTAAATAGATATTTTTTGAAAACGAATCATTTTATGGAAGTAAATCTAGAGCCCATTTTTTTGTAAAAAACCCATTTCTATCATAGTTTGATGTTTACATTTGAAAATATTAGAGTTATCATCAAATTGATTTAAGGTATTTCCAAAATTATTTGGTGGTCTTCCTTGACTGCGCAGTTTTCTAAAAGATCCATTTTCCGTTAATCGTCTATGGACGCAGAAAATATTCTATGTCCAGTTTGCCTCCGATTTGGGTATCTCCGTTGGTAATTCCCTTGGTGCCGGTAGTGCTCTTCCATTACAAAATCCATACACAAAATGCATGTCTATTCAAATTATTATTAAAATTCTGCATTCTTTCTTTAGATTTTACTTAATATCCAATACAGCACCGTAAAGTGAAAGCAAAAATTTGTGTTTAATAATAAATCTGTCAAATTAATTCAAGTAAACAAACATCTGTTTTCATGGCCTACTTACCTATTCATGTAATTCTTTTCCATTCTTGAGATTATGTAATAAAACTTTAAAAGCGATTTTTCTTGAAAACGAAGCATTTTATCGAACTAAATCAAGAGTCCTTTTTTTTAAAGACTCTTATCTATCTTAGTTTGATGTTTAAATTTGAAAATATTGACATGCAAAAAATTGGGGGCGCATTTTACCCGTGACACCCCTGACTAAAATTTTTAAACAGTCTTCGTGTAGTTCGTTAGAACATTATTGAGTGTCCAACCAAAATTCATAATGATATGTTAACTGGTTTTGGAAAATATTTTAAAAAATATGATCTCCTGACACCCCTTTTAGGGGGGCGTAGCTCCCTTAGAGAGCATTTTTCGACCCTTGTTTATAGAAAATAATAATCTTATTTTTGACCGTAGAATCTACTGTTAAAGTATTGCACACTAATTATGGGACAGCCTGTATAAAACAAAATAGAAGCACGAAATATGCCTGATGTTTTATGTTGCACGTAGGGTTTGCAATCCCGCAGTTTTTTTTTCCAGCTGGAAATTTGCGGTAAATTCGCCTTTACAGCGGGATCCCGCTGTAATTCCCGCGAGAGATTTAAAAATATATTTATTGTATATGAAAATAATAATGCTATTATTGTGGAATGTTTATATTTAATCAAATGAAATATAAGTAATTCTTGATAATTAAAAATCAACAGATAAGCATTATACAGGGTGATTCAGAACTTATCCAATAAAAAAAAATTCTGGATGTATAGAAGACCCTTACAAATACAATTTTGTAAAGAAAAAATCGAAAAGGTCAGTTCGAAATTGATTTAAAAATACACTTCTGCACGGCACTGGAAACTGGTCCACTGTAAAACCTGACCTCGCACAATGCGACCGCTATGGCGGCGTGATAAAAACGGACAAAAACTTTCGCAAGGAAAGAAATATGTAAATAGAATTTTATCGCACCTANAAGAAAAATTATAAGAAGTTCTGGTGCTATTTTGACTTCATCTACCGTGCTCCCGAGAAATTACTAAACAAGGTGTCTGCGAAAGGTTGGGGAAACTCGAAATTCCCCTATTTATCAAAGGGATAGGGAATAATTGACGCCCGTATACAAACATCGCCAAAATTAGGTAAAAATTCTTATTTGTCATGTCAAAAAACATAATAGCGACAGTATTTTTGTTCATATTCAGTTTTCAAAATTATTGAGAAATGTCAAAACAAAATTCAAACATTGAACGCCTTGTATCTTTGAAACCAGCAACATTTGTATTAGGCACATTTAGGCCAGGAAAATAAGCTGGGAAATGACCATTTCGCGACTTTTTGTTTCGGCAAGTTGAATTTATCACTATAGATGCTAAATATTATGTTAAGTACAATAACATATTAGTTTCCACAGTCATAAAAATGGGGGGAAGATTGTTTACAGGGTGGTTAATTGTATAATTTTTACGTAAATTCACTTTTTTCGCTTATAACTTTTTCCGTTCATTTCCACGAGAGAACAGTAAAGTACTTTTTTTTTCNTTCAAAAATGTAATTTTCTCAATTTGTCACAAAACTGCATATACGGTCTTTTTCCGAAGTAGGGCAGTATAGTATAATTAAAGTAACATACAAGAAGACAAAACTATTAGTTATATATAAAATTTTACTTTGTAAACACTTTTTTTCTCGAAAATAAACAAACGAATCAAGGAATTTGTTTGAATGATGAAAAGATCTGCCGATTTTAGTCATTTCTTTCGCTCGATTAATCGATGCTATCACAGGGGAACGGGATGCGCACGCAAACCAAACGGGGCGCTCGCGCGCTTCATGCGCTATGTCGCTACACGGACGTGTTCTATTCAAAAATTTCCCGCGCGGGAATTACCGCACAGATGCGGGAATTCCGCAGGTCTCATTGACATGCGGGAAATTGCTGGAATGCTGTAACGCGGAATGCGAGATTGCAAACCCTAGTTGCACGTCAATAATTATAAAGATTTGTTGAAACTGGATATGTAACATATTTTACCTGCGACTAGAGCGTATGCGATACCCTGTGGTATTTCAGTCAGACCAACCGTGAAACCAGCCAGTATGTCTTGAAGGAATGTTCCAAATGTGTACGCAGGCAACCAAGCTAATATGGGCAGTCTTTTTTTGATGATCTGCCTGGCACTTAGGGAATACCCACCTGTAAAAAATATGTAGATGCATAATTAAAATAAAATATTCAAAATCCAGAGTAGTTGAGAATTATTCGACTCGAAAATGATTTAAATATTTTGTAGGCGTATACGTATGTCTACACGTAACCAAAATACCTTGGGTTCATACTATGAAACCACCAAATACATATAAGTATACATTTTAATAAAATTTTGTCATCTTGATTGATATTTTGATTAGAAGGATCATTAGAAGAAAAATTATAAGAAGTTCTGGTGCTATTTTGACTTCATCTACCGTGCTCCCGAGAAATTACTAAACAAGGTGTCTGCGAAAGGTTGGGGAAACTCGAAATTCCCCTATTTATCAAAGGGATAGGGAATAATTGACGCCCGTATACAAACATCGCCAAAATTATGTAAAAATTCTTATTTGTCATGTCAAAAAACATAATAGCGATAGTTTTTTTGTTCATACTCTGAGAGTTTCCAAAATTATTGAGGAATGTCAAAACAAAATTCAGACATTGAACGCCTTGTATCTTTGAAACCAGCAACATTTGCATAAGGCACATTTAGGCCAGGAAAATAAACTGAGAAATGACCATTTCGCGACTTTTTGTTTCGGCAAGCTGAATTTATCACTATAGATGCTAAATATTATGTACAATAACATATTAGTTTCCACAGTCATAAAAATGGGGGGAAGATTGTTTACAGGGTGGTTAATTGTATAATTTTTACGTAAATTCACTTTTTTCGCTTATAACTTTTTTCCGTTCATTTCCACGAGAAAACAGTAAAGTACTTTTT